CACCCCGCCCCTCCCCAAGCTCTTCCCTTAGCTTTCTCTTGGAAGCGAGTGAAAACCTGGCCCAACTTCCCCATTTTCTGGAAGCCCAGTAAACTCAGTGACATCCACACTGAAGGAGGGCAGGAAGTAGGGGCGGAGCCCAGGACCTTAACCCCAGAGGCTCTCAACCCCCTGGAAGAGAAGCTCTGCCTTGTGCCACACACCCCCAACCCAGGTGGACAAGATATCTTCAAAACCAGCCTGGAATCAAACATTTTTATTTCCCCTGCCAGAAGGGAAGGCCGAAGCAGGGTCTGTCCGGAAGGGAGAGGAGGGCAAGGGTCCACAGAGGGTCTGTGAGAGGAGCTACAGAGGCCACGGGCAAGGGGCTGAGCTCTGGTCACTTGCTGTCCTCCAGGAAGAAGTCATTGTAGGCCATGCACAGAGTGGTCAGGAACACTGAGTACTCCTTGAAGTCGATCTCCTGGTCACGGTTCTTGTCCAAGCTCTTCATCAGGTCATCAATGCTGCTCTCCTTCATCTTCTTAGAGAGCCCAGAGAGAGGGTCCGGTCAGCCACCCTGCCCAGCCTTGCCTCACCACTGCACTGTGCCACCCACCCCCTCGGGGTAGCCTCAGGGTGACCCTCAGCAGGGTCAGCAGCACTCTGAACATCTCGACCCCCAGACTGCCCCAGCCCACACCCAGCACAGGCCTGGAACCATGCAAGGGTTCAGTGGTCTGACTCCTGAATCTAAGCAAATGTCAGTAGGAAAGCCCGTCCAGCCTCCCTTTTCCACAACACTTTCCACCATCCAAAGAAACAGTCTCTAGATTTTATACAATGTCTAGCAGAAATGTCTTGGTGACCACGTGGTACTGAGCATGATCCAAGTCTCAGGCTTACCCCATAGAGGATAGTCGAGGACGGACCCGGACAACACGTCCTGAGATCAACGTGCTGGATCTGAGCGGCCGCCCCAGCCTTCCCTTGCGGGGAGAGCCTGCAGCCCAGCCGTGTGGACTGGAGTCCCTGGCTCAGCTACACCCTGTCCGGTCCCTTGCTCTCCCAGCCCTGTTCCGCCAAGAGGGTGGAGACAGGGCCCTCAGGTGGGACAGGAAGAAAATAGAGACACACTCTGCCCTCCCCTCTTCACTGCCCCCAGCTCCCGCTTTCCCACGGGAGACAGACATCAGGACAAATGGAGATGGAAACAGCCTCTCTGTGACGAGATCCTTGTCCCCAGTCTGGGCTCCCGTTAAAGTTAGGCCTTCCCCCAGGGCTTCTGTCCCCCTGTAATTAACCCCTAAGGGACCCATGCCCCTTCCTTTGCCCTCATTAACTCCAGGATGCAGACAACCTGGCGGGAAAGCAGAGGGCAGGCTCAGTGATACCCACACCTGCTCCAGTCGCTGCCCAAAGGGCCAAACTCAGAGAGAGTCTCTCTGGGGAGGTCCACCAAGGTTCAGGATGTGACCAGAAAGGACCCCACCCTGGATTTTCAAGGAAAAAGAGAGTACTCGCCTCTCACTAGTGTCCTCGGACAAGTTGGATCATGTTTCTGAGCCTCCATTTTTTTTAACTGTAAAAATAATATAGTAATTTCCTCATAGGCCTTCACTCCCACCCACCCTGGTCAGCTACCTCCCACCTTCACCATCTGGCAAGAAGCAATCTGTCTCCTTCCAACCTTGTGTCACAACTAGCAGAATGACCCCTTTTGTCCCTGTGTCAGTGCCAGCTGGGAGTCCTGGAGACATGGAGAGTCAGGTGCAGGCCCTGGCCTTGAGCTGAACCCAGCTCGAGCTGGACACCCACGCCCCTCATCCCCCATGATCCCTCTCAAAGGCTCTTCCATGGCTGCCTGGGCCTGGCCTCAACACAGAAGGCTCTCTGACTTCTAAACTTTCACACGGAATGTAATGCACCCTCTGGACACCACCCTTCCTCCTTCCCAGTGAAACACAACTCATCTCCCAGCATAGAGCTCTTGCATCTGTTGGCCCAAGATGTCCACACTCTGCTTTAGGTCTCTGATGGTTCCCTTGAGCTATCCTGCTCCTGGCTGAGACTAGAGCACTTGGAGGGCGGATGTGTGTCCCTGTAGTTTGGGCTTCCAACATCACAGGAGGGGAGCCCTTGACAGTGGTATGGTGCTTCCCCTTCTTTCCTCCTCCCCCATGATGTACACAGGAAGCACTCGGGCTTTGGGGTGGGGGTGAGGTCACCTACCTCTCCAAGACACAGCTCCTTCTTGATCAGCTCCTTGAGTTCCTTCCTGCTCAGGGTCAGTTTGCTGCCTTCTCTCCCCGAATATTTGTGGAAAGTGGTGACCATAGTGGTCAGGGCCTTCTCAAGAGGTGTCTCCATCAGTGTGTGGCTCTGGAGGGTGAAGGGGGAGGAGAGGATCACCATCCTCCGGAAGCCGGACCTTCTGCTTCCCCATCACCAGCCCAGCCCCAAGGCTTTCTCTAAAGGACCAGAAACTGGAACCCTGGATGAGACAGAAATCTACCAACAAATGGACCCAAATGTGCCAGGGAAGGTTGTAATGAGACCCAAGGCAAACTTGGAAGAGCCGGGACGATGAGACTAACCATCCCCCAAAGGAGCCTACGCACTCTCCTGCTTAGGAGATGCTGGAAGAGCGCTCTAGGGGCAGGTGACAAGAGGACTTCCCCAGAAGATGAACTGGAGGCAGATGATGGAGTTGAGAAGGGTCCCTGGCCCATCTAGCTTGGGCACTTGTTTGTCAGAGGCAGCCCTCACCCTAATCACCCTCCTTGGCCTGGGTGCCTGAATCACCTGTTAGTGGGGAGTGTCCCATTATAGAAGTGGAGGACAGGGCAAAGAGAGAGTCCAGAGTTTGGAGGGGGCTGGGGCTGGAACTGGGAGATAATATCTCAGCAGGACACTGGGGAGAGGTCATCCGACTTGTCCAGCTGGTCTCCAGTCTCTGGCCCTGAGAACTGCACACACAGACCAACAGTGGGGCAGGGGCGGGCGGGCACTGTTGAAATCTCCAGGATCACTCTGAAAGCTGGATCCAGAGGTTGGGTTTGAATGGGTCCCCTGTGTCCCTCAGCATTGTCATGCCCACCAGGGGAAGCGGCAGCTGGAGCTCCCATGACTCAGACTTGAAAACCACTCCCCACCAGACTTGAAGAAAGGGACAACACCCAAGGAACCTGGGGACGCCAGGTAAATCTGTGTGGAGTCCAGAGCAAGAAGGAGGAGGCAGCTGGCTCTTGCCTTCAGCCCAAAGCCCACCTTTTGATTCTTGAACTGGATCTGTCATTCACCTCTTACCACCCCAAAACCTCAGCCTCTCCCCAGCTCCAGGAGACTCAGCCAGGACCACAGCGGAGGGAAGGGCCTCTGGGCGTCTGCAACAGCATCCTGGCGGTTCTGATCACACCTCGGTGCCCAGAGCCACTTCTCCAGAAACTCTGACAGCCACGATTCCAGGCTCCGCCTTCCCTCCTGAGCACATGCCCACTCATCAGGCCAGGTCTTCCTTGCTGGTGGTCACCACAGCCTGTCACCCACTGGCCTCTACGCCCAGCTTGCCCCACCGTACGGATGAGCAAGGAGGTGAGAAGGAAGGACTCACCAGGAAAGGAGAGGGCAGACAACAGCAGAAACAGTCCCCCTCCCACTACTCCCTGCCTTTATTCCCTTGCTCTGGTCCCCAGGAAACCAGGGGAAGGAAAGAGCCAATGAGAAAGGCAGGGACCTAAGAAGGCCGGAGTCAGAGCCTCTTGGGATGGGGCTGGGGAGAAACCCCTCTGCCAGTACCTTCCTGGTTTCCAAACAGAGGGGAAGGGAGCATGTAGGGTTCATCATGGCACACACATCGTCAGTCCCAGAAACTTTGTTTTCCCAACCACAGATCACCACTCACAATCTGATGGGACAGCAGGATGGAAGAGAAACCAAAATCCCTGGAAAAAAGACCCAGGAAGCATGGGCCAAAAACAGCGTATCTCCTCATGCCCTAGTCACTCTCCACATTGGGGCCCTCCCACCCACACCAGGAGCAGAGCAGATACACCTTGAGATGGATCAGAAGGGAAGATGTTTCCTGCCAAGGGCGGGGTCAAGGTCATTAGCAAGTATGGAGCCTAAGGTTTTTATTTTTTTTTTTTCAACGTTTATTTATTTTTGGGACAGAGAGAGACAGAGCATGAACGGGGGAGGGGCAGAGAGAGAGGGAGACACAGAATCGGAAACAGGCTCCAGGCTCTGAGCCATCAGCCCAGAGCCTGATGCGGGGCTCGAACTCACGGACCGCGAGATC